TGCCAGGCGCCGCCGCTGCTGGTCGCCCGGACGGCCTTGCCCGTGGCCGGCCAGTCATCGCCGCCTTTGCGGGACAGAGAAACTGGTATCTGGGGAGCAGAATAGCTAGAGACGGACCTGGAAAAAGGAAGGCGGACAAACCTGGAGGCCAGCGGGAAAAGCAGATATTTCGCCTGCCATGCACTGCTCTCAGGCGGACTTTGAAGTGGCCTGGCCTGGTCCCAGGGAGACTCTGGCCTGTGAAGCTGCTGGCTTTAAGCTTTTCCTTTCCTTTCCTTTCTTCTTTTATTTATTTATTTATTTTGGCCTTGTATGTGTTTTTATTTTTTGGTCTCATTCTTTAACCTGTTCCCCATATAAACCCATATATATTCAGCCAGTGGTAGCAGTAGCTACAAAAGTAGCAATTCAGTTGTTAGCTTTAACCTGTAACAAGAGTTTTCATTTAATGTCTTGTTATGTTTATGGAGCTGCAGTGGTCGAATTGACACAGGCACACTTCATCACAGAGGGCCCCAGCTGGCAGACAGCTGCTGTCTGCTCGCTCAGGTGAGCTGTGCCAACCTGCCCTTCTGTTCCTGATAAGCCCCTGAGTCCTCACCTGGTCCCTTGAGAGAGCAAGCCTGGGCCTGTCAGGTCATTTATTCTGAGTCTCAGTTGTTAGTATTCAGACTATTATAGCAGCTACTAACCTGTTAATAATGGCAAGAATTTAGCAAAACTCATTGACTTCTCTCCAGATCCAGTAAGCTCCAGAGTGCAAGGCTAGAAGCGCTTTGAGACGTCTCCACAGTGACTTAATGGAATGTTGATTTTATAGTCTGTTATCCACTCAGAGAATATGATAGCTGAAGAGTACAGTAAGATATTAACTAAATAAACATGCTTTACATTTGAAGGATGAAACAGGTGCCTACTTAATAGACAGAGATCCGACCTACTTTGGACCTGTGTTGAATTATCTCCGACATGGGAAACTGGTCATTAACAAAGACCTTGCAGAGGAAGGTATGTTTGCTGTTCAAGAAAGTGGTTCTGCTGCTTTTTTGAAGTTCTCCTTTCAGTAAAATTGCAGCGAAAAGCCTGTTGGAAAGAGGCCTGGGTTGGCTTTCCTTTTTCCGCCATAACTGTGGGTTCAAAGCATTCAAGTGCAGCCAGGCTCATTTGCATCCCTGAAGTTCCCAGTGGCACCCAGATGTGGATTTTCTTCACTTGGAACTTGAACCGTTATTGAAAGACTGGGTGCTGACACAGAACTCTCACAGAGTCCCCTTTTGGGTGGTTTTTCACAATTGGTTGCTGCGTGCTGTACTGAGCACTTTCAGATTGGCCCAGGAAGACTGGGTCTGGCTTCTCTCTTCTTTTGGGCCAGCAGCAGAGATCTGTTGCTTTGAAAGCTAGACTAGGGAGGCCATGAGATGGAGCATCAAAGTACAGTGGTGCCCCGTTTGACGACGATAATCCGTTCCAGCAAAATCACTGTAGAGCGAAATTGTTGTCAGGCAGGGAAAAAAACATTGAAACGCATTAAAAACCAGTTAATGCGTTCCAATGGGCGAAATACCTCATCGTCCAGCGAAGATCCTCCATAGGGCAGCCATTTTCCGGTCCTAAAAACAGCGGGGAACCATTTTGTACAGTGGGCGGCCATTTTGAACCCCGACGATCAACTGTTTTTAGATTGTTGTAATGCGAAGAATTGGTTCCCGAAGCAGGGAACTGAGTAAAACGAAAATCACCCTTTCAAACATCGTTTAGCAGTCACAATAGCGATCGCAAAAACATCGCCGTGAAGCGATTTCAGCGTCAAGTGGGGTAATCGTCAAGTGGGGCACCACTTTATCTCCTTTTGATGCCTTGCTGGTGACAATAGGTGGTGACAAACTTTGGGAGTTTTCAGTAGTCCCCTTGGCTGAATTTATTTTCCTCTCTTATCAGGTGTACTTGAAGAGGCAGAATTCTACAACATTACATCCTTAATAAAACTTGTGAAGGACAAAATAAGGGAAAGAGACAGCAAAATTTCACAGGTGGGACCCTCTTTCTCTTTTTTTAAACTCTGCTTTGCTTTTGCCACAGGCCATGTTACTTGTTTCATCAGCAGAGGAAGAGAGATTGATCAGCCAGCCAGTCAGTTTTGTGATAGAGTGAGGACTTGAACCTGGATTTCCTAAATTTTAGCTCATCAGGTTAACCTTTGCATCACATCACATTACGTAGAATGTCTCTCCAGCTACAGATGTCTTGCACAGTTTGGCGCAGTACTACAATGCTTGTGGTTTGTGGTGGACAACAGTGGACAACTTGGCCACGGGTTTGATTGGAAATGACAATGAAATGACACTGCAAAAAAGTGTTCTGCTACTGCATTACTTCAAAACTTTGGCTTAGGTTTTGGAAGGATGCAGCTGTTGGAATCTTTGTTCCTTTCTCACTTCTCTACTTGCATTTTTATTTTCCACAGGTGCCGGTCAAGCATGTTTACCGGGTGCTACAGTGCCAGGAAGAGGAACTCACACAGATGGTCTCCACAATGTCTGATGGATGGAAATTTGAGCAGGTAAGAGAGTGAGGTGTGAATTACAGCAGCTGGTGAAGTGACAGGAGCTGCATGAATGTGTCAGCACCATGTTGGTTGTGGGTGTCATGACCCATACTGGGCATTGTTCTTTACTTGTATCATTTTCATCTTGGTGGGCAGAAGCTTTTTAAAGAGCAGAGACTGCTCCACATGTGACATCTCAGCCCCCTCTCAACTCCTTTTTAAGAAACATTTTCATTCTTCTCGTCTAGGCAAAGCTTCCAAAACCCTGACTCCCATTTCCCACATTTTGTGTTTTGTGGGTAGCTGAGAGCTCCTGCAGTACATTGCAGGGTAGCCATGTGGGAGCACTCAGTTGTGTCTTGGCACAAACCACATCCTGCCATCCTGTGATGTCTGCGAGTCAAAGTGGCCTGCCCGTATCACTGTTGCAGTGTGTGGATCCTCTTTTAAAGCTCTCTGTGTTAACAGTGACCACAACTCCTTGGGGCACTGCATTCCACAGTGTGCCTGGGTGAAGAAGTGCTCCCTTTCCTCAATCGTGAATATTTAACCATGCAGCTCATTTGGATGAACCTGGGTTCTACTAGTGTGTGTTTGTGCACGCATGTGTGCATGCGACCTCCTTAGTCACTTGCCTCAAACCACAAATGGTTTAATAATCTTCTCTCTTACTTGCACATCTGGGGAACCAGGAGAGTCTCAGTTTTATTTAGCACCTTAGCATATTGAGCCATGAGGGTGTGACTTTAAGCCCTGCATATTGGCTGTTTAGTTTAGCTGCAGTGATTTTATTCTCCTAGACCTAGATCAGAACTGCTTCAGGGTGGGGGTGGGGTTGCTGTAGAACCTGCTCAACTGTGCTGAAGGCTCATGAGCCAGAGCTACTGTGCTGAGCCTTTCCTTTCCTGAGGCTCATGAGCCGCCAGGAGAGCTACTGTGCTGAGCCTTTCCTTTCCTTTTCCAGTTAGTCAGCATTGGATCCTCCTATAACTATGGGAATGAAGACCAAGCTGAGTTTCTGTGTGTTGTCTCCAAGGAACTGCACAACACCCCTTACGGCACTGCCAGCGAGCCCAGTGAGAAAGCAAAGGTGGGTCTCTTTAATGAGGGCGTAGGGGCTGTGGGACAGTCACAGCATTCTACTGCCATCATGGGTGCTTGTGAGCTGCTTTTGAGGAATCGGCTTACCTGGAGCCGAATCGGCTTACCTGGAGCTCTTGTCTCAAATGAGTGAATGATATCAATTTTGAGGAATCGACTTACCTGGAGGGCCTCCGTCTGTGTTGCTTTCCGAGATGCTACGTGTCTCTCCACATTTTATGAAGCTGATTATGACGTTTGCGATCTGCTCTTGTCTCAAATGAGTGAATGATATCAGATGACGTGACAGCAAAGGAGCTCATCTGTGTTGAACTTTGTACCTCAGTCCCTGCCTCTCCCTTTGGTCCCTGGCTTTTTAGAGAGGCTGCAGAGGGCAGGTTGAAGATTTTTGAAAGTGCAGAGGAAACATGTTAGCTTTCCAGTGTATCCTGTCTTCAGCGATACGCAGAAGAAGTGCTTCAAGTGTTCTTTTAAACACTTCCAGCAGAAAGGCTTGTATTAGTGGAAATCTACAGACTTCTGGTAATTTTGCAGTGGGAACAATTAGAAGCTAAGGTTGGGTGTTTATGTGTGCTGATCCTGTAATGCATGGCTGTTGGGCTCTGGAGAAAAATGTTGAAGCTACTGTTTGTGTCTGTTAAGCAGTACCTAAAGCCAAAGTATGTTCAGGAATGGTGTGTTCAGTGATGACCTAAGCAGACCTCTGGCACCTGAGGCAGCATCTAAAGGTCATTGTGGGAGTGACCCCTTTTCAACTCCCATCGTGTGGAGCAGCCCTGGTGTTTGAGACTGGGTGGAAACGAGGCGTATTGAGCTATTTGGGTGCTTAGCACATGGGCAAAGGACAGGCACCCACAGGCCATTGGAGGATGGTAGGATGCAGAGTGACTAAGCTGGAGATGTACATTTATGCATGGTCCTAGCTCCTATGTTAAAGCACAGCTTTGAAATGTAGGATTTTATTTTCATGCGATTGCAAAAGAGCCAAAGCTATGATCACTTATTAAAAGTTAATGTACATTCATAATGAGAAAGCAGTGGGGGGGGGGTGAGTTGAAAAAAATGGACAAGAAAGGAAAGAAGGCATACAGCATTCTTTAGACACAAGCATTCTAGAGCTTCTTAATCTGTATTTCCAGGCCACCATGAACAAACAGTGTTTTGTCTTGAGTTACTAAGACTCTTAAACTGAAAACCTTTTGTTTTGTATTTGGAGCCACCAGAAAAGTGGAATTTAACATCTGTTGAAAGTATGACAGAAATTGCCTTCCTTAACAGAAGGTAAACTGTCAGGACCTGAGTGTGAGCAAGCCTCTTTTCAGGTGGATCCTGCCTTGCCACAGTCCTCTAACTTGGCCCATGCCTGGTTCTCGCCATTCCTCTTGGGAACAAGTCGACCCCTGCTGCTCCGTAAGCTTCTTTCAGGCCTGTCCACCATCTTCATGACTGCTGGCCTTTCCACTGCTGTGCTGTGGCTCAGGGGCTAGACCAGAATGCTGCTGAGAGGCCCCTCCCCTCCCCTCCCCGGGGTGGTTCTCCCTCCTACCCAGAGGCCTCAGGTATAGTGCTTCTTCGTCCTTTTGCAGCTCCTGCCAGGTGTCCCCCCCCGTAGCCAGATCCAGGCCATGCTTCGCAGTTTGGAGTCCTGTTCTCTCCGTCAGCGGAACCACGGGGGAATTCTTTCCTTGCATTGCGTAGTTATTGAAGCCTAGTAGCTCATCCTTCAGAAGTAACGGAGCAGTAGCCCCGAGGCACCTTCTGCCCCCCCCCCCCCCGGTGCCCAGTGAGAACATTTGACTTGGTTTGGCTTGACTCAAACTTCACTCTTTTTCTTTTCCTTCCCTTCCCTTTCTTTACACTTTGCTGCATGAAACTCAGAGCGAAGACGAGGAGACGGATTGCGATATGAATGACTCAGATTAAGTGTGAATGCCATGGTGAGCACTAGGAACACACCCACCTGCTTCCTCTGTCTCTTCCCCAGTGGTGCCTCTTGTTCTTTTTGTGTCTGTAGCTGCCTGCCTTATCCCTTGTGGTGGGATGGTGCTGAAGGGCACTCGTAGATGGGTCACTAGATTACCTAGTTGTCCAGTTGTGTCTTGGCTCCTCTAGTTCCTGCTGCAGTGGGCTTTCTTCAGAGGAAATGTGTTTTGTGCTGCTTTTCACTGTGAGAAGATGCCAATCTCAGTCAGGGGACATCTGGACACATTTTAATCAAGAGGATATTTGGGAGAGTCAGGAACATTTGGAGTCTGGCAGAAAACGTACAAAAAAGTATCTAGGCCACAGAGTGGCATGCAATGTGCTACTATCACCTTAAGACAATAAATTGTGGGGTTTCCCATTTTTAGTCCATATACTAGCTTGACAGATTCTGTGATGAGCCGACTCCTTTTGAATTGTATTTGATGTCTCAGTTCAGTGAGATAGCAAACTCTGCTTTTGGTGTTCATCTGTGTTCTGGCTCCATCTGCTGTCAGAAAGGCAGTTTTGGGAAACAATCTAGGTTCCTGCCAACCCAGGTTGTCTGCTCAGAGGGAACTGTGGCTTTTTGAAGCTCCCTCACGCTTGCCTGCACTTTCTGAGCTCAGGTTCATGAGAGAGGGTTGCCTCTTCTCCTGCTTCTGGCATGGAGTGAACAGATTACAGCTGCATGAGGCTTTGGACAGCCAGGATGCCTTGTGCAAACCCTGCAGCGAAGATGGCTGTGAGGCAAGCCTGCAGCTCAAGAACGTCCCACTGAGAAAGCACAGATGAGGGCCCAAGGGTGGCCTTCATGGCTGAGGGCCACTGTGGTCTTTAGGGTGACAGGAGGCCTGTCACTCCTGCTGGGCTGCCTCTTTCCGGTCACACGGACTGAAGGCTGTGCAACATTGTGTGTGCTCCCCCTTGCCCTCGGTCATCAGAAGGCCATCCTGAATGGGAGTGTTTGCCCAGGGCAAGGGCCTCTTTGTCCATTAATGCCAGAACAGACCTGTTAGATACAGCAAGGTGAGTGAATAAGGGGAAGGATTGCTGGGAAATATCAGGAAAGGAAGATGGAGGAAGGAGAGCAGTGCAAAGTGCAGAGGTCTGAGCTGGACGAGGAAAGGCAAAAGCATCAGGGAACGTGGCCTACATTGGCTAGAAAGGGAGGGGGGGTGGCGGCCCTGAGTGGCAAGCCGATGCCCTCTTGAGCCCCTCAAGGCCTCCCTGGAGAGGGAATGATTGAGGTCTGTGTAGGTTCTGTCCGTGTCTGGCTCCCTTATCCCACTTCTGTTCTTACCAACTGCTCTCGGTTTCTAGCGACAGTGGGCAGCGCGTCTCCTGCAGTGTTCTGACTCTCTTGACTTGGCATCATCCAGTGGTAGTGTTTGCTTTGTCCGTTCAGTGGACATTTGGAAATGTGAGGCTCCTGCAATGAGCTCTCTTTTGTGTGTTTATCAAGTTTGCTCCAAAACGCACAGGTCTGAATTGCAAAACGCAGGGACCCCCCCCCCAATTTCACAACAGAATCCACAAGGGGGCAGCCTTTAACTGCCAGGGCTGTGGGTGTGGATGTACTTTCTTTACAGAATTAAGGAGGTATCTTGACTAGGGCAGCACATTTATCGTGTATTATTGCTGGTGTGCCTTTCTATAAAATCATCAAGTGGCTTTAAAAGGATGGAAGCCATCAGCAAAGAGTCTTAGAGATTATCCACTTGAGGGGAACTGTGTAGGCTCAGTGCAGCGTGCCAGGCAGTCCCCTACAAGGGGCTCACGTCCTTTCCTTCACCCACAAAACATTTCACCACCAAGTGGACAGGAGCACCTCAGAATTCTCCCACATGTCTACCTAGCAGTTGGTCTAGAAATACCTGTTCTCAGCAAACCTGTTATCCTCATCATAATGCTGTGTTGTCAATTCATTTCCAGTTTTTGGTGACTCTCCTGGGGTTCTTGAGGAATAAGGCCCTCCAAAAGTGGTTGAGCAGCCTCTCTTTCTCTTGGCGCCCTGCAGCTTTCCCAAAGCCCCACATGTTGTGTAACCTCAGCAACACATGGCCTTTCTTGGATGATCTGGGTTGGCCCCTTGTCTGGAGGCACAGTGGGGATGCAGGCTCCCCAGCCCTTGCTTTGCACACAGGCGTTCCAACCCCTGGAACTCTGCCAGCCCCATCCTCTAAGCATCCTCCTATTCACAAACCCTGTCAGATTCAACATTGGTATATTAATTTTCAGATGCTCACAGACTGGGTTTTTAATAATCTGTCAAGGAGACTAGTTCCAATCATTCCCTTCCTAGGATGATGGGGGCAATATGTGTCCTCTTCCAGTCTTGCACTTGTTCTCCAGGAATTCTCAAAAATCACGCACAAAAGTAATATCTTGAAGGGTTTGTTTTTGTTTTTTGGAAAGGGTCTGGGTATGTAATTTTTCTGGCTCTGGAATCTTGAACCTCATTTAAATTAGCTGCTCTGGGTTAGAAATATGTTCTATAATTGTGCTGTTCAGGCTCCAGACTAAACTGAAGTCAACTTTTGGGGAAAATACCGAAATGAAAGAGCAGTTGATTCATTCTGCCTTATCTCTTGTCGCTGGATGTTCTAGTCATTAGCTTTCTGTGTCTGTGCCCAGACCAGGGTGAATAAAAAATTGGTGATTTTTAAAAATCAAAATGATTTAAATCATAATTTTTACTTTAAATTGTCAAAAAACTGACTTTTAAAAATTGAACCCTGTTCCTGACCCTACAACAGGAAGTGGTGATGGGAGTACTATGGCTCATACACCCACCCAGTCCTTCAGAGCCACATCGTCTTTGGAGATCCATCCAGCATTTCCTCCAGCTTCACACCTTGCTTGTTGGTGGATTGTCAGGAGAGGCCGGGAGTTGTTTGGTTTGATGTTTCGCCTCTTTAGTACCAGCTGCAAGAAGGCAACATGCATCCTGAGGTGCTTGCCTTCCTCTCTCAGGAGGTAGAATCCCCACCACCACAGCGATGCTGCTGCTGCTGCTGTTGCTCCTCTTCTTCCTCAGGTTAAATTTCTCTTCCCACTTGGCCATATGCTGCATTGTTTTCTGGAGCATGGGGATCAGAGTGTCTCATCTGCAGAGGAATAAAGCAGCCCTGAAAGCAGGGCTTCCAAAGTGGTGCAGGTTGTCCCATGCATTTGGCCAGTCTGGCTCCAGCCACCAAACCCACCCTTCCTTCCTTCCTTCCTTCCTTTGTTGCAGTAGCAACTGGTCCTGGCTAGTTCACCACTGAATGCCACAGGAGTTTTCTGCACTGTGTTTTTAGAAGAATTGGTTGCTTGTTTGTTAGCCTTTATTTGCTTTTGGTTAAGTCCAGGGTGATGTTGAGACAAAACAGGAGTGAGTCTGGCCAGGGTGCAGGTCTGGCCGGAGGATCTTGCTCCATATCATTCCTCACCGTGTCCTTTGTTTCCAGATCTTGCAGGAGAGGGGCTCAAGGATGTAACTGGGCCTTGCAATGGGCAGCGGAAGACATTTCTTCGGAATTGCCACAGGAGGAAGCTTGGCGCCACAAGGAAGCCACTTGTTCAGACACTTATTGTTGTTGACTCGGGATTTTGAACTTTCCAAAGTGGCACATCCAGAGCAGGTTGCTTGGGACATCTGCCTCTTCGTCTTGAAAGACCACCGCACATGTTGGCTTTGGGGCCTGGTTCTGCTGATTGTCATCCCACAGAAGCACTCTGACCCTACTGCTGGTTCTCCCCACTGAAGAGATCTCACACACTGTCCAGTGCTCTCTAGGTGAAGCCATTTGGGTTCTAATTGCAGGAAGTTCAAGGACAACCTACTTGGTGCTATGTATAGATTACAGCCCTGGTGTGGACCTCTAGCATTGGGCAGCCCTGGTCAGGGCTTTTGTGGAAGAAGGCTGTAGGAAGCCATTGGTACAAGCCACGGTGCTCCAGAAAAGGACCAGCATCTTTCCTGTGCCCTGTCCCTTCCTTGGAAAGAAGCCTCTTTTGCCTGCATCTTGGGAAGGGGAGGGGGTGGGGTCTTCCTTTTTGCTAAACTTGCTTTTGCAAGTGTTAACAGTGAGGTGTAGCTCCATATTCAGATTGAAGACCTTTTTTTAAAAAATGACACAATGTCTTGCCTTTCAAACACACAAGCCCCAAGTTGCGTTATCTTTTTAAAATATTTGAAAGTCCCTGTGAATCGTGAGAGGGCTGAAGGTATGCCTGCTGTTTAAATCTTAATGGGTGCTTTGTCTTGATGGCTTAGCCTGAGGGTCTGCGTGCCCACAAGCAGAGCTTCTGCAGCTACAGGTTAGAAATTCTTGTGGTTCTTTAACAGATGTTTACAGTCATTTCTACATTCTCTTATCTATGCAGTTCTTTCCGGTGTTTTCACAAAGCACGGTCAAACGTGTGTGGTTTCATGAAGCTTGTGATAAATGTGAAGAAAAAAACTGGAGCTTTTTAGAGCACTGTGTTTAAATGAAACTTTTAGCATGTTCTTTCAAGTAGGTCTCAGAAGCCTGTCCTTTGGATCTCTCTGCTTTAGAGAGGAGTCCACACTTGTCTGAGGCTTTTTAGTACTCTGTTTCATTAAACAACTTACAAAAGTTGTATGTATACACCAGTTCCTTTACCATTCTGAGGTGAGTAGTAGTCAGCACATAGAGCATTTCTTCTTGTCTGCTGGCACTCTTGATTTGATTTTGCAAACCAATTCTGCCCAGCAGATTTGTGAGCTGGCTGTCTTTCCCATCCCATGTCTTACATTTTCCACTTAAGACAGGTTTGCAGAGCAAGTGGCAAAGCATTCCTCAGTACGGGCATAGGTGGGTTTGCCTTTTTTAAGATGCTATAACTCAACTGACTTCACTAAAGTGTCATTATTCTGGAGAGTGAAATCTTTCTACTTTTGTACTTTTTTAGGCATCCTCCCTTAATTAGCTAATTTTCTGCTGAGGAATAGTGTTTTCTTATGTATATCTGTAGAAAGACGTATCTGTATGTGGACCCAGTTGCCAACTGCAGGAGGCCCAGCCTTCATCTCCTTTGTGTTGTGCTGTTTTGGGACACATTCTGGAGACAAAATGTGACTGTTTGCCCTGAAAAGTTTTGTTTTCCAAAAAGAGGGTGCCATGATTATGCCTCTTCAGGATCTTCCTTTGAACAGTTTGCTCTGAAGAGCAAATTGTAGATTCAAATGTTCTTAACTGCCATCTTTAAAGATGGTCACAGTAAAACATACTGCAGAAGGAGAACCAGGGCAGAGGGGAGTGACTGTGCCCCCTCCCAATTCATTTTGACATGTTTGCTGTTTTGGGGTTTACTTATGCCTTGCGTCCGCCGGTTCCTCTCTGTAACGTGTCTTGCTTGTCTCAGAGCGGGGATCTTGATCTGGCATTGCCCTACTCCATCTGGAAAACCATAAAGGGTCAGAAGGTATTTTGGGAGGGGGTCATAGCCTGTAGCTCTTATGGTAATACCTCTTTGTTCTATCTGAGGATTTTAGCGACAGGCCAGGCTTTCCCTTTGTATTGATTCGGGGAGAGTTTGTTTAATTTAGGGCAGAGTTTGTTTAATTTAAAAGAAATTTAAGCATGTTGAACAAAATGCAACATCTATCCAGATTTATACCAGGAAATTAAAGTTGTAACCTAGGATTTAATTTTGGATGTAATCCTTTTTGTAATATTTGTTACTGTAGAATGTGGCTAATGGCATGAAGCATACCCTCTTGAAAAACTCAGTTTTCATCTTTTGTTTAAAAAGGCGAGTTTCCAGCCTTCAGGATTAAAACTGAGTAATGGAGGCAGATTTTGACAAAAGCTCTGAAACCAAGCCATGGCTGGGATGGCTTTTGACATCCTCCATGGCTCTGCTTCTCACATGAACTGCTGCCTCTACCCCTGCCATTTCCTTTATCCTTCACTTCTTTTTGTAACTCAATTTATTGCTTGTTTGTGTCTGTCAGTTTGGAAGCAGAGTAAATTGTTTTAAGTAAGAAAAAGTATTTTAATTTGCCTTGCAGAATGTAGGTTTGATTAGCACATTTAGATTTTGCAAAAAAATAAATCTATAATTCCATTTATAGATGCAGGCAGGATTACCCTGGTATCAGTTTTCTTCTTGTTCCCCCAAACAGCATGTGTGCTGTTTTTGCAAAATCCTTCCCCCCCACCCCGGCACTTACACCGTGAACCAGATATTATTGAAATTGGTTAGATTTTTACAGTTTTAAGATGTGAACTTTGTGCCTCGTGAGACCTGCAGGATTGTCTCTGAAATATTAACAATGGCACTGGTGATCTGGTGTAATTTTAAGCTGTCATTTGGATGATTTTTACTTATTTTTCTCAGGTTTTTTGCAATGAGATGTAATTATTCTGATAGTTTGTTTTCCTAAAGCAAATTTTCATGTCAAGAGGGGTCTGGAGACTTATCAGCTATGCTTCAGCCACATGCACACTAAACAGACCACCCACTTAAAATACCAGAGTCCCTATATATATGGGAAATGAAGAAAACGAACCCTTTGGGCAGGGTAACCCACAGGTCTTCCAGGCATGGAAGGTGCTTCTTTTTTTCTTTTGGGCACGGAGGTTGCATTCTCCACCTTGCCTGTTAGCGGTTACACCACTTAATCCTCCTTTACCATAGAGACCCACTGCTCTGTTCAAGACGGTGCCCTTCCATGGCGAACATCATAAGACTTGCACATGCCTGCAGCACTGAATTCCTGGAGGGCTTTCCTGCCTGTAGGATGACCCAAAGGGACCTATCCATCTTTGGAGAAGGGGAAGATGTCTCGCTGAGGAGGCTACTTACAGGAAGGAATTGGCAGCCCTTCCTTCCTATTGTAACCCACAAAAGTGTCGCCTTTACCCACGCTCTCCTTCCAGAGCTCCCTCCACTCCTCCTGCCCTTGGAAGGGAGCTGCTGGGTAAGAGGAGCAGGACTGAGCCGGGCCCCTCCCAAGGTCATCATCCTGCGGCGACCACACAGGGACTTGGGCAACAACCGGCAGGCTCCTGCAACGGGGATGGACAGGCCAACAGTTCCTCCACCCTCGTGCAGATGGTTTCTGGGGGGAGCTGGATGTGTCTCCTTGCAGAGAGGCTGCTCGGTGAACGAGGGCCTGGATTCCTTTTTTGGGGCGGGGGGGGCGGGAAGGGGGTGCCTCTGTCAAGCGTCGGGGTCCCTGGTTCCAGAGAGCTGCCCGGCAGGAGCGGCGGAACTCCCCGCCTCGCCCCGCCCCAAGCGGGCCCGTCCGTTTCCCCGGAGACGCCGGGGGAGGGGAAGGGAGGGCAGCCTGTCCGCTCCCGCCGGTCGGAGCGACGCGGGGCTTGGCGGGGGTGGGGCTTCCTTTTCGGGAGCCAATGATGTGCGCCTTCCGGCTCCTAGTAGGTCTCCATGGCAACCAGTCCCTCCCTCCCTCCGCATCTCGCACCGTCCCAATCCCGCTGGAAAGGCGGGAACTCTGGGCGGGGCCTGTTGGGGACAGGGGCGGGGCCACGGAGCTCGGTCCCGCGGCTAGAACGGCCGCTCTGGGTCCTCGGCGCAAGCACGTACTGCGCAGGCGCTGTGAGGCGGACGGGTCGCGGCGAGGGACAGCCTGTGCCGACGAGCTCCGCTTCCTGCGAGGGAAAGTCCAGGCTGGAGACAAAAGGGGGGGAGGTGAGTGGGGAACATCCGGGTCATTCGCCTCCGCCGTCGCCTGAATCCGGGACACGCGCGGGTGCTGCCGC